TAGAGCTAGAACAGAGGGTTTGAAGACTTACAGACAACATGCAGGTTAGTGTCTAAAGCATTCACTTTATCCGAGTCCTGGGTTTCTATTTTATTGATTTCTGCCCTCAACAAGGGTGAGTGTTGACTGAATGAGTGGTATGGGGAGAAATATGGTAAAAACAATAAAAGCAAAGAGTTTTGGCTTCAGATCCTCTTATTTACATGTTCTCATGGCTTCAATTATTCACTTTAAAATAATAAATTATTCCCAGGTTTATAGATTCAGCCCCAAGGTGGATCCTAAAATTGAGGCTCATGTATCCATCCCTTCTCAGTGTTCCCCACACTCGTTAAACTCATTTTGTAAAAATCCGAACTGCTCATTTTTTCATCCATCTGCTGCATTCCCTATGCTGGCAAATGATACCTTACCGTTAAGTACACCAACGCAGCAAAAGCTGGTGCTGCTAAACCTCTTCTTCCTTCTTTATATCTAATTTTCCATCTCACTTCAAATTATCTGCAAAATACTTGCAGAATCTGACCACTTCTCTCATTTCTAACTGCTCGTTACTCCAGTTTACGCCAACATCCTTTCTTTCTTAATGACGCTAAGAATCTGATAAATACACTCCTGTCCCCTTCGAAGCCAGTCTTTACAATGAAGCAGACTCAGGGTTCTGAAATCTAGTTTTAACCATGAGATGTCTCAGCTTAATCTAATCGAGGTCTTCTCATTCAGCCCCATCCTTTCCTACTATACCAACCTTGCTCACTACATTTTAAACACTTTGCCCTTCTTTCAGCTTCTAGAAAGCCTAATAAAGGCTCCTAGGTGTGCAGTTTCCCACACACAACATTCCTTTCATTCCCAGCTGCTGACTGTTCACGTCTCAGATGACACGCCACTTCCTTTAGGGAATTGCCGTGATGCTGAAGGCAGAGTGTCAGAGGTCTGTGCCCACAGGGAAGCTAGTTTCTCCCTAAGCTAGCACGTTTTCCCTTATTTGTGTTAATTAGTTAGCAATGGCAACTGAACTCATGAGTTTATGTTTATCGGGTCTCTTTACATGGTTTTGTCTACTGTTTTTCAGTCTCTCAAATCTGTTATCTAATGATGCCCTGATTTCAATTCAATAACCACGGAGGTCATCCTGCCTGGCTGAAGACGCAGTCGTGAGTGTGGATTTAATTCATTACTCCCCAGCCAAATGCTGTATTAGTATCATGAAGAAGATAAGAAAACAGTCAATCCTTACATCATTTTAGGAGCTTAAATTAAATGTGTAAGGTGAGACATAAACCCTGGAAAGAATTCTACTACAGGGAAAATGAAAGAAATAAAGAACCACAACAGAAAGGAAGTATGAGTGGAGGGAATACAGTAAATATTTTTTTTTTAATGAAGCTGAAATCATGCTTCAGAAGGGTTAATGGAAAGTGAGTAACTGTATTTTGAAAGGTAAGAAAATTGTCTGACAAGTTTAGACTTCTTTTTAAACGGCAATACAGAGCCGTTGCATGGTCCTAATTAAGAAGATTGCACTAGTAACTACTAGAATGTGAGAAATGAAAGATAGCCAACTGGTCATCATGCCTAATTATGCCAATCTGAAGGCAAACCCAGACCAGCTACATAAGAATTATCTATAGATCTTTAAAGGCTACGAACGCTTATGGTCTGTTTATGGTTGGGTAATCTGGGATTAGGGAAGGGGAAATAATCCATTTTGTTTCGTCTGTTTTCGGTTTTGGTTTTTTGTTAATGGAGGTGCCGGGGATTGAACCCAGGACCCTGATGCACGCTAAGCATGTGCTCTACCACTGAGCTCTACCCACCCTCTAAGTTTGTTTAATGTCTACAGATTATCCAGATACGTTTTAAAATTTAGAAACCACTGATCTAGTTGACCCTTTTCCTTTTCAAATGAATCAGATGAAGCCAGAGAAGTGCTGTGACATGCCTGAATACTAGCTGCATACACAGCTCATGACTCCATTCCTAATGCTTTTCAGCTTCTATCTGTAAGCTGTGCAACCTGAAAGCAGCATGCAGGATGGATTGGAGCTTAAATCCCGGAGCAAGGGAGACCAGTTTAAAAACCGTGATAGCAGTCCAAGAAGTACTGCACCAGAGCACTTAGCACCAGGGCTGGAAAGGAGGGGAAAAAAGGGAGTTATTTTATAAAGCCCAAGAGTACAATTCAGTAGAGGAGATGGCAAGGGAGGTGGGAATTCCAAGGCTCACTGATCTGATTTGGGGAACAATGTTGATGGAATCAAGAGGAAGCTGAGACTTCAGAGTACATTTAGACATTTTCAGAGTTTTCTCAAACACAAATAACTTACTCTGTTTGTCTTTACCAACCCCCTACTTTGATTCCCAGAAGCTGCAAAAAAGGAATTAACTTCCTCCTGGCTCTGAGATATCCGGAGACCATACTATCTTAAGTGTCTCTAAGGTGGTGTCCCCCAGTTCAAGCTACACAGAGCTAAGAGGGAGACAGATTCAGCTTGCACGGGGTTGGCTCACTTCCCTTTTGACATCTCTGCCTGTTACAGAGCAATGGATAAAGTGTCTTCTGAGACCCAAGTTCCTGACCCCTGGCGAGAAAAGGACCCCTACTTACCAGCCATAGGTAACAGCCTGAGTCCCTTTCTGTTGTCTTGAGAGGAGCACAGGCTTGAAAATGAAAGTCACTGAACATTTCCTTAGTTGGGGGTGGGGTGGGGGGTGGGGGCGGGGACATCTAATCGTAGGCTGGGAAAGTGTTGCTCAGGATTTCTGGGCTCACTGTCGGGAAGTCCCCTGTAGTCAGCAAGTGGATTTTCCAGCCCTTTGGCAAGAAATATTTCTTCCTTTTGGAAGGAAAAAATAAAATGAAATGACAAAACATTGTTTAACCTACGTTGGCACCTCTGACTGCTTTTTCCCTCTGTTTCGTTTTCTTTCCTGATGGCTCCACATCTCCTTTTCTCTGTCCTTCTCTTTCTGATCGCTCAGTATTTCTCCTCTGTTCACCTAAAAGTGCAAATCATGAAGGAGTTAAAACTAACAAGTCTCCTGTCATTTCCGGATAAGGGCTTCCCAAAAAACTTGTTTCCTGTTTTCACTGTGCTGATCACGGCAGTATCGTCCCCTCCCCACTTCCCTATTATCTTCAACTTTTATTGAAGTAAGTTCTGAACCTTCGGCTCCACTCCTTTCATGTTTTTTCTTTAACTGCCTAAGCTTCCTTTTAAGATTTAATTTTTACTGAAGGTGAACAGACTATAAAAACAGTTTCAGGCTGCAGTAGAACTATTATGTGATAGTACAAAAGAGATATATCCAGAAGTACAGTTAGTGAAAGGAAAAAAAAAAAGGACTGTGGCATGCTCAACTTTGAAGGTCTTCAAAAGGTCAGAAACTCGCCTTCACTTTTAATAGGTTAGCCTTAGAAAAGGCTCATATTTGCCAGGTGAAACAGTAGTAAGTTTAACCTTGCTAAGTGAAAAATTTCACCCAAAATTTATTATCACCGCACTACACAGGGACATTATTTTGCCTACAGCTCATTTATTCATAGGGTGTCAAGTACTGTCTGCTAATTTGGTTTCATGTTTATTCACTGTCTTGTCTTCTCAATGAAACTGTAAACTATTAGGCATCTGGAGTTGAATCAATATACTTTGTATTCCTGAAATGCCTTAAGGAAGGGCTAGAATTATGTAAATGGTAGTCATGGCTTTGTCAGTGATAAACCTGGGGATTTCAAGTAAGTTACAGATCACATTACCTTTTCTGAATCTCTCCTGTTGAGCTTCAAATTTTTTGAAGTCAGGTATCTACTGTAATTTGCATGTCTGTCCCTAAAGCAGAAAGTTTAGCAAATCATTTCTAGAAAGAAAGAATGTTGCTATTAGCCAGTTCAGTTCGTATGAAGTCTAAAGACTCTAAATCCATTACTTGCTCCAAATTCCACCCCCGCCTTCTCAGAGTGGTGAAGGGGGAAAAAAAAAGAACACGACAGACAGCCTTTCATGTTTATCTCAGATTTATTGAAATGTTTAAAGAAATGTCTGCTTTCTGCATACACGATTCCAAAACAGGTACAGAATGACAGGAGTCCTGGCTTTCTGTAGGAAAAGGATACATAAAAAAAAGTAAAAAATAGAGTTCCACTAAAAGAAATGCAAGTTGTAAAATCACTCCACTGAGGGGTTACAACCACTCATAAAAGGAAAGTCTATGATATGCCTAAATCTTGGCCTTCTGAGGTGAAAGGGAGGAACATTTAAACTGAGGCCACTTCTCAATCTAATCAGGTAACTTTGAGAAAAGGCCCCCTAACTCTGCTTAACTCTGAGAGAAATGCAACGTGCCCTGCACTGCACAGCAGAAAGGCATCCTTTCATCGCCCTCTGTTTCTTATATTAAACTTTGAGACCTAAACCAGGGAGAAGTTCAGCACTCTTCACCCAGCCTCACCCCAATCCCACCACATACACATCCACCCACAGACGCTGATGTAACTTACGAATTTTAATATCCTGGAAAGAGGTAGAAACATCTTGTCAACGTCACTCTTTCAGTGGTGGGCATCTGTGCCTTGCCATCCGGCAGCTCAAATGAGAATCGAACCTAAAAGGAAAAGAAGGTCTGTAGATTTTTTTTTTTCTGAGTGGGGGGATTTTCATTTAAGCTGGAAAAATTGCAAAAAATGAAATAGCAAAATAAGTGATTAAAAAAAAAAGGTGTGCATCTGTCAAACTCATAGCAATAGGCATATCTAAGAATGGAATGACCACACTTTTAAAACCTGCTGCTGACTCCGATAGTTATGGACACAAGCAACTTAGACACCACTCACTTGTCTATTCAGGGCAAGAGGGGAGTTAAAATAAATGACTGCTTTCTAGGGGTTGTTTTCTAGATTATAACAGCTTGGAACTAGCTTCCAGATTTGCTGACTCACCAAAGAACCTCAAAACCCATTTGCAAAGAAGGGCATTTTTAGAAGATAGACATATCCACAGCTGCTCCCTAGGTTTCCCACTAGAATAGTCAAACAGGGAAGGAAAGCGTGAGGAGTATTCAGGGCCTTACCTTTCGGAAAATTTCCTCCAGGTCACAGGACCAGGCATGTTCTTGCAGGATTTTGATGAGTTTAATAATAAAAAGAGAGCCCAAGATGGGATGTCGCCAAGAAACGTTATCTGTGAAGAAAGCACATTCCAAATTTCATGCACGGTCTTGCCTGCCCACAGTGATGAAGCCTAAAGATTTCTGTTCCAGCTGAGGCAGGCTGTTGAGTCCATGCTGTTCCCTACATATTGCATGTCATTTTTTAAGTGATTATAATCAACATTCAGTGTGTATATTTTCACTGATACTTGACAATTGTTAAAGTCAAATGAACTATGGTGTTTACAGTACAGATGTTAAATGGCACGGTCTCTGAGCTCAGGGATTCCCAAATCTGATAGAGAGGGAGAGAGAGGCAGAATGGGGTGGAGGGAAATGATTGGGCTTTGAGGAGGAAATACCTGAGTGTGGATCCCAAGAGTGCTACCTGACTCCAGTGAATTTTACACTCCAAATGCAATGGACTTGACTGCAAAGGGGAGGGTAATCTTTTCTGCCCCAAAAAGATACTTTAAGATTAGATGCAATGCATCACAGGGGCCTGGGAGAATGTGAAATGTGTAATACCCAGTCTACACAAGGTAATTACATTAATAGTGTTTCAATTTATCTACTGTATAAATAATTTAATTAAAATCAAGTAGCATTGACCATGAGGTATTTAGACAAAGAAAATATTCACTAAATATGAAAATGGTACCAACAGAAAAGAATTACACACCTAGGAAAGATGTAAGGGGGAAAGATAATATTCTATTGTTCTATTGGGGAATAAACAGTCTTATGGAGAAGACATAATGAAAAAGAATAATTATACAAAATAGAACAGACACAGAAGTCATGAAGCCATTTTAAAATTACGCCAAGAACTATATAACAAAAAGTATTAATAGCTGTGTGCATTTAACCATGGTCATATGCCTTAACCAAAACTTTTAGCCAATAAAATGGTAATAAAATGTATAATAATAATTGATTAAAATCCTACCTAAAACTACAGCTGTCTTAGGAGGCTGGTTCCAGCTAAAGGAAGTGGGTGGCGGAGAGTTGCAGGCAGGTGTCTGCAAGTTCTTTGTAAAATTAAGGGAGTGGATGGTCACTTTTCTTCAGGAGAGAACTACAATGTCCCTGAGATTAATGGTAGAGAACGCGAAGCTAGGTTTACTAGCGGAAACTGAAGACAACTGAATTGGAGACTCTAAGAATCACCTGGAAAGGAAGGGTGGGGAAAGTGAATGAAAGGAGACAGAAATCAGCAAGACGGATGTCAAGAAGCCAGGGGCCAATGAAGGGCTAATGGCCAGAGGTAAATCTCTTGTGGAAGGCTAGGATCAAAGGCTTTTAAACAATAGTTAAGCCTAATTTTGTTGACATCTGTTAAATATAGTCAAGCTGTAAATGTGTGGGAGTTTTGCCTAGTGTCACTGTTTTTGATGGTTGAAAAAAACTAATTGATTTCTACATCAAGACATGGTCAACACAACGCAAAAGCAAACTATCTCCGGAGAGATCGTACCTCAATATAGAAAATAATGTGTAAATTAAACTATGTGATCAGAGGCAAGGCCTTAAAGCCAGAGGTAATCAAGAGAATATTAATGTCTAAGAAATTCCAAAACATAGTGGGTGAAAGAACTCCAAAAAGTTTTCTTTAAACCTTGAGATGGAAAGTAACTCAAGGTGAAATCTTGAATAGATTTACGCCTTATTAACAGCAGTCAGTTAATGTGTGCTTTACTCTGTCGTGCTTAATCTTTCATACTTTTATCTCATGTGATTCTTACGACAATAATATTTGTATCCACATATATTAGTGAGGAACTCAAAGGAAGCCAAGAGAGGCTAAATAATTAAAACCGCTGTACAAAGTACTAAATGGCAGAGTCAGACTATAACTGATAGTCCTCTTAATCCAAAATCTAGATTTAGAATCAGGTAGGTTCCTTCTGTTTCATGCACTCCATACTTCTAGTTGAAGCAGCTTTAAGTTAGGGATTCAATACGCCTTGTTTGCTTTTCTGCCTCCCCCTACACCATCTGTAAATACCATTATTCTATAAAGACAAGTCTAGGCAAATTGAACCACGGAATTATCCCAACACTGCAGACCTTTTCGGATGTGGAGTCAGTTTCTAATTTATTTCGGTATAGATACATTTCTGTTTACCCCTCACAGTTCCAGGAAAATATTTTACACCGCATGCCTTTACTAAGTACTAATTTAATAAAAATACATGTACATTTATTTTGTCACTATGGATAAGGGGAATTGAAAGGAAAACTGGGAGGAAGGCTTGACTTATTCTTCAAAAGTCTCATAAAAAGCTCAGTACAGTTATCCACACTCTAACAGGTAAGTGTGAGTTTCTGCATTGGTAATGACCAGAAAGATACCTTACACAGATACTGATTACCTGGTGTTGAAGAGCAGAAGGCAATAAAATCCTTCTCCACGTGGGCTTTCTTAATGGCATCCTCCTCAAAATCTTTTGGATCCAGTAAGTTACTTTGTCCAGAAGCTTCTGCTGAATCTTTTAACCACACCACCCCTTCCCTATCTGGAAAGATAAGATTTGATTTCTTGTAACTTCCAATAGCCAAGAGAACTACTTTCTTCCCTAAACATCTAGTCAACTATATTTATTTATTTCTATTTTCATTTTTAAAAATTTTTATTGAGTTATAGTCAACTTACAATGTTGTGTCAATTTCTGGTGTACAGCACAATTTTTCAGTCACACATGAATATACATATATTCATTTTCATATTCTTTTTCACTGTGAGCTACTACAAGATCTTGTATATATTTCCTGTGCTATACAGTATAAACTCATTTATCTATTCTATATATACCTGTCAGTATCTACAAATCTCAAACTCCCAGTCTGTCCCCTCCCACCCCCTTCCCCCTGGGCAACCACAGATTCGTATTCTGTGTCTGTGAGTCTGTTTCTGTTTTATATTTAACTTCATTTGTCTTTTTTTTTTTAGATTCCACATATGAGTGATATCATATGGTATTTTTCTTTCTCTTTCTGGCTTACTTCACTTAGAATGACCAGGAACATCCATGTTGCTGCAAATGGCATTATGTTGTCATTTTTATGGCTGTATAGTATTCCATTTATTCAACTATATTTATTAATTCACTTATCACTATCTTTCATTCACATGCAGATACACACATGCATCTCAAAATCTATCTTCAATAACTCTTAACTTCCCTAAACTTCCAATGAATTCCAACAACGTCCCACCCCAGTATCATAGTCTTAAGATTAAAAATGTTCTCTCTTTGCTTGGAAATGGAACAAATATCTACAAATGAATCATACTATTCAAAGAAACTACAATCTTGTTTGGTGACAGTAGGCATTCTTTGACATGAAGGAGCAAAACCCAAAGGAAAACTGAAAAATACTGGATGCATACAGACGATGAGATCAACACTTGAATTCATCTTGTGTTCTAACAGACGTCAACACTCACCACCGCGGCAGGCCTGGATAATGATCACCTTAGGCTTGTCCTTCAAACTTGGACAATTCATGGTGTTCAAAGTTTGGAATATCGTGTTGACATCTAATACATCTGGGACTTCTTCAGAGTATTTCTTCCCACAAATGCCACCCCGGATTCCATGAGACATGAGCACCAGGAAAGTACTATCAGAGGTCCGGTGTTCTGGGCGGGCAGCAAATGCTTTCAGCTCTTTCCTCATGTCCTGGAAGAGACCATACCACTGAGTTTGGACCATGTGATTCATTATCATGGCCCCTTGGAATCCAACGAAGACACACTTAAGGAATTCATAATATGAAATGATGAGATACAAAAAGAAAATTTGAGTTTTGATTCACAGAAAGGTGAAAAAGTTTATGGGATGTCATTCAGGGACTCCTAGTAAAGAGAAAGGGCATTATTGAGTTACTAGAACACTTCCCAGTTAAAAATTCCATCAGCCTCTTGCTAAAGTTAGAATCATTAAGTACTGATTAAGAGTAAATTTAGATTTTAGATTATCAAGAGATTTAGTTTCTGGTGTTACAACCAATCTTTCTAACGTTCTTTAGAAATGTAAAGGGCATGACTATTGCTTCCACATTATGGCAGACTTTACCAAAGCAGTGAGATTTTCTTTCACATCCACGCTGTACCCCAGACCTTCCAGGAGCGTCTTCATGTCTCTGATATCAACATGAGCTCCATCTCTCCTGGGAAGACTGTCAAACTCTGTGTTGCAGATGATGAGGGCAAGACGTGTGCGGACCGACCTTTCCATTATTGGGTAAATCTGTGAGAAATGCAGATTGGGTCAATAGTCTTGTTCTCTTTAATTTAATATCCATCTTGAGGATTAAAGACAGCTTCCCCTCCCTTCGTCCACTGCAGAAGCCTAACCTCTTGGAACACGGATTAAAAACAGGGAGAGGGAGTGAGTCCCATCATAGGAAAGGGAATGGAATTTGTAATCACCCAGATAGCAGCCGAGTGCTTGACTAAATTACTTCTTACTGGGAGAGATGAGCAGGCTTTGAAGCCGTAGTGACTTAGTTCTAAAACTGAGTCACTGACTTACTGGTTTAGCCAAAATATTTGACAATTCCTACCTCAGTTTTCTGATCTCTAAAATGAGCCATTTTCAGAGTTCAAGGTGTTATTACATAGAACATCCTTAGAATAATGTCTGATTCATACCAAGCATTAAAGAGATGCTATCGGTGTTATAATTATAATTGTTTACTCAGAGAATTGGACCAAATGTGGCAGTCTCTACTAAGCCTGGAATTCTAGAAGATAGGAATCCTTTATGCAATGGAAGCAGCAGGATGGTATTCCAGAACCTCTCAAGGAAATTAGCTCTAAGAAAGAACCAATACAAGAAAGAAAGAAAGACAATTCTAAAGTCTGGAATTGTCTCCAGTGTGTCTTTCACTCCAGTCCTTGTGTTCTGAGCTCAGCACCTCCGCTGACTTCTCGTTCCATATCTTCTCGGCTGTTTCCGCGGGGCAAAGCTTGAGGCTCCCTTCTGGCCCTGAAGATGCAAACCTAACCGGGTTGTCCTGTACTGCCTGAGGCCCTGCAAGAGACCAGAGTCATTATGAATAGGGTCCCATTTAATGTTCCTCCTAGGATCATCTGTGTGTGAAGCCACAGACAAGGAAATTAAATTCTTCGGAGGACTATCCTGAGCTAGTTGATAACACTGTTGAATGCATCACTGCTAATACACACTGGGATACATTCCAGACCAGAGGAGATGCCCAGGGGTGTGATAACAGGGACCCACCTTCGTCTCTTAGACTTGGCATTTTACAAATATTTTTGATTTAAACATTGAAAGGGGTTGTTCAAGAACATGCAAAGTAAAACTCTCTGAAAACAATATGTTAGATAAACAGTTAAGATACAATTGTATTTCGAATAATTTAAAGCTTAGGATAAAATTTAATGGAGGTAAGCCTTAATAAATAGATTTCAATGCTTTTTAAATATATGTTTATATGTCTGTTTATTTATTTACTTGTTTAAAAGGCATGATAGTGCGCATTAGAGATTTGAGAGAAAGAAAGAAGGAAGGAAGGAG